CCTCTTAGCTCTGAACATGGTTTTCTGTCTGTTATAATGCATATCCACCTTGCCATTCTTATTTCAGTTTGGTTAAGCCTGTGTATGCCATACTCTTTAACTGTCATGTTTCATTGCCATACAACATCACACTTCTCATACCAGTTACATATACAGGTATCTTTCCTTTCGTGCAGAGGGAAGGTTCTCTTGCTGTTAATACCCTGTAAAGGCAGAAACTCCCTTAACTTCCTCCAGCCACTTCTGGCACTTGCAAAACGACTGGCTTCGGCACCCCTTTTAGCACTGATCATGTCATCTAGGTAACAAAATGCATTGAAACAGTCCGAGGACATATCCCAATCCAGTATTGAGTTTCTCCAGCCTCGCTAAGGCCACTCTTTTACCTACACAAGCAGAATACTTAAAATCAACATCTCGCAGTCTGCCATCCACTTAACTGCATCTCGTGTGTACCCACCTTTCACACTCACTGCACATTATTAAGTTTCTTACAGACAGCATGTGGCCATTTTCCACCATGGGTCCTTCACCCAAACCATTAATCAATACTTTTGTTTTCACCACATTAGCTTTTGAACCCTTGGACTTTACTCCATCCTTCCATTTCTTAAATTTCTCTGCTACTTCCTCAATATGAATTGCTATCAGCACTAAACCATCAACAAACAACACCTCCCCGGGCAAACTATTCCTGACGCCCTGTGATATTGCAACAGCATCATGATAAACAGAAGGAGCTCAAGACAGACCCCTGATGAACCCCTACTTTCACCTTACATTCATCACTTTCTTCACCATTTATTGTAGCAGCAGTGTTTGAGTCTTTATATAATGTTATAACCACTAACAAAAAACACTACTCAACACTGAGCTTTCTCATTACCCACTTTACTGCTTCATGTGGTACCCTGCCAATGCTTGTAAATCAAGTCTGTATGATAAATTTACAACATTTAAACTCAACACTCGATCTGTGATGTCCCACTTAAATTTTTTTTTTCAGTGGATGGCTCTGAACACTTGGCCTAGGAGTGGCAGAGAGGGTATACTGTAATAAGGGATGACCCAATTCAGCGCCAGCTCATTTCAGCACCAGACTATTCAGCGCCTGTGCGTTCCGTTCAACTCGGAAACTATCTGTCTTTCATTAACGTGGTATAATACTGTATACTACACTAGATTTATATTATGTTGCATTCAACTTATTAATATTTGGTGTTATGAATGAACTCCTCATTAGCTATAACAGGTGTCTTTGCTGTATAACCGTTGGACGTGGGGATGGGGATGGGGTGGTAGGAAACAAGGTGCAAACAGTTTCCCCATTAACGACAACATATGACGTTTGGCATTTATAGAGAGTAATCGGTCGCAATCCTGACTTTGCTTTACATGCGAAAAAGATAACAGCACTTTCTTTTGTACCAAATGATGACATTGACCGTCACGTGGATGCTCTTGCAACGGACTTGTCTGGGGAATTGGTTCTGCTTTTAAATTGGTTTGAAGACAATTATATTGATCGTCCATACCGGAGAGGAACTGGGAGAAGACAACCACTGTTTCCCACAGAGATGTGGAACATGTACCAACGAACTTTACAAGAAGATAGAACCAATAACCATGCTGAAGCTGCAAGCAGACGACTATGAGGCGAACTGGGAATGTTGCATCCAACTACAGTGGTCCCTCGGTTAACGAACACAATTCGTTCCAGAAGGTCGTTCGTTAACCGAAACCATCGTTTCAATGGGATTTTGGGTAATTGGTTCCAGCTTACCGAAAATTACATAAAGTAAAAAAAAAATGCAGTAAAGTACACTTACTTTGAGGTGTGTATGTAGAAGGCTCCTGGTTGATGATGCTGATGTGAATTTGAAGTGGGTGGTGGAGGAGAAGGTAGAAGAGAAGGAAGTGAGGGTGGAGGAGATGCATTTTACTGCTTCTTGGAAGGCGAGTCACCTTCCATGAAAATGTCAGGAACCTCTGGACTGACAGATTCTGCAGCAGGAAAATCCTCTCTCCTTTTTGAAGTGGAAGGCTGAGGGCTAGCATCTTTTTCCCGCTGCCTTTTAGTAAAGAAACTGTCAATTTTTGTTTGTGGGCATTTCTCCTCCTCATCATTAACTGATTTCTGAAGGAGAGCACTTTGTCCTCAACACTACACTAAACAGGTTCTGTTGTTTCCACATAAGGGTGCCTTGATGCCAGTTTCCTGAACATCCCCCAGTGATAAACAACATCTTTTTAAGAAGACATATGGTTACCACTTTCCCTTTCCTCCTCACCACTATCAGCTTCTAACATCTCATCCAGTTGCTGCAAGTCTTCAGTAGTAAGTTCCTGCTCATGAGACATCACAAGCTCTTCCACATCATCCTCCTCCACTTCGAGGCCCAATGACTGACCAATGGACACAATCTCCTGGTCAAACTCCGTTACTTCCTCAAATCCCTCAAAATCATGGACTGCTGATGGCCACAGTGCTTTCCATGCAGAATTGAGGGATCTAATGGAGACTTCTCGCCATGAGGACACAATCAATTTTACAGCCTCCAGCATGTTGAATTGTGTCTTCCAGAACTGTGCCAGTGTTAGTTCAGGATCAGTGGTAGTTGCCTCCTGAACATTTTCTTCATGTACAGCTTCTTGAAGTTGCTGAACACATTCTGGTCCATTGGCTGCATAATTGATGTAGTGTTGGGAGGCAAAAACAACACTTGACAAAGTCAAATCGAACCTCCACAGTGCTGGCAAGTTGAGGGTCATAACCAGGGGCATTATCCATAAGGAGAAGAGCCTTTAAAGGGAGTTTATTGGTGGTTAGATAGCTCTTCACAGAAGGGCAAAACACCTCAACAGCCCATTCATTAAAGAGCTGTCTTGTCACCCATGCCTTACGGTTGGACTTCCAATAAACTCCAAGTTTTCCTCTTACCACCTTTTGATGCTTGAACACCCTGGGGTTCTCAGAGTGGTAGACAAGCATAGGCTTCAGTCAGAAATCCCCTGAAGCATTGGCACCAAGCAATAGAGTGAGACGGTCCTTCATGGGTTTATGCCCAGGTAAAGAGGCTTCATCTCTGGTGATGAATGTCCTTTGGGCATTTTCTTCTGGAACAGCCCAGTTTCGTCCACATTGAACACTTGCTGTGGAAGATAATTTTCTTCCTCCACCAGTTTCTTAAACTCCACTACAAACTTTGCTGCTCCTTCTTTATCTGCACTGGCAGCTTCACCATGCCTAACACCACTAAAAATGTCACTTCTTTTCTTAAATTTTTCGAACTAGCCCTTGCTGGCCCTAAACAAACTCTGTGCCAGAAGAACCAGGTTGAATTTCCTTTAAATGTTCGTATATTTCCCTGCTCTTTCACAAATAAATTCAGTAGAAACTGAATCACCTTTCATTTGTTTTTCCCTAATCCAAATAAGAAGTAACCTCTCTGTTTCTGCTATTAATGATCTACCTTTAAACACTCTGGTAGATTTGTCTCTCACTTTCACTTCTTTGAACTTGTCTTTCTGTGCAAGAATTGTTGACAGTTGATGAGCCGACATTCCATATTCCTTACTAAGCACATTTGTTCTAATGCCTTCTTCACGTTTCTTAATAATTTCCTGCTTTACTTAAATTGAAATTGCCTTTCTCGATTTCTTTGGTGCCATGCTGGATTCAATACAGTAATTTCACCACAAAAATTTTAAGTTCACTAGCTGTAATTAAAGATTATTTTCTTTAAATCAACACTGCACTGTGTTATATATTATCAATATGTAAAATAAATTTCAGAATTACCAATAATTGTACTGTAAAAATGTAAAAATAGTTTATGTTCAAGAGTCTCAAGCAAGATGTTACCTCTACTGACCAGAGATACACACTGACGCCTGCTGGGCGAGTCAAGTGGCTGTTTGGCGCACTAAAAATTAATTTCCTGTACTTCAATTATGTTAAATAATTGTTAAAATAACTAAAAAAATATATATAAAATGTGTAAAATTATTGAATAGTACAACCTTCTTGATATTTACTCAAATGGGAACGAATTTAAGCCCTAGAACCGATTACTGTATTGGCGGACTAATACCCAAGCTGGTGAGCAGGCGAAAACATGTTGAGAAGAATTCATAAGGATTTCGGTAACCGAATTTTTTTTCGTTAACCGAGTTGAAGATTCTTATGGAAGGTAATTCGTTAACCGAAATTTCGTTAAGCGAGGCGTTCATTAACCGAGGGACCACTGTATATGAAACTTCATCCATGCTTTCAAACGAGTCCAAAAAGGACGGAATAAATATTTCGAGAAGCTTTCAGCTGGGCATGAACCTCAACCCAAATTACTGAAATACAGAAAAGCAGATGAAAGAATATTAAAAATTGTTTCTGAATATGGGAACAGAAATGAAGTAAAATACCCGAGTGCAATTGCGCACAATTTATCACACTAAAAATAAAGCTAACCCTTTCTTTTAAACGATTTTAAATGTTTTTTTAATAATTTTTAATTAAATAAACCAATCTCATAAATATGTATGATTCTTTTAATAAATTATTGATTTGGTGGCGCTGAATAGTCTGGCGCTGAAATGGGCTGGCCCTGAAATGGCGGTGCTGAATTGTACCCTACCCACTGTACTGTATCTGAATCCTGGGTGAGCACTAGCTGATGTGACAACAAGTTCATCAGGCCTTTTAGTTTACTTGAGGGAAAATATTTTTCCCTCTCCGTTTCCAGGTAATAGTTGCAGACTAATCATAAGATTTGTCCTGGCCATTAATGTCAGGTTTCCTAAGTCTAGTGAATGCATTCCATGAGCAACATTGTGAAAGGTAAGTGACCATAAATGTTCCAGATATTTCGATAGCTTTCAGATGTGATCTCACTGTTATCAAACAAAATTATATTTAAACTATGATAAATGCCACAACAAAGGGGTCAATTAACACATGGAAAAAGAATAATGAAGGAATGAGATAAATAAAATGGGAGGGATTACTATTTTGTCAATTTGTGTTTATTTTTGAGAATCTCTGGCTGACCAGTGATGGGGCTGAAAATATGACAGAGGTGGAAGAGAATTTATCATCACTGAGAGACACGTGACCAAGCAAAGATACATCGCCCAATGGATTACCTGATTCTTCCACAATAGATCTTTTTATTGACAATCAGTTTATTTATCTAATGTATATAATTAAAATGCAATACCACCATCAAGATCCACAACTTGATGGATGAAAATGAGGTATACTGTATTTCAATATCTTTGGCTCAACAGGTGCACATTTTGTGCTCAGACTAGTAATGCGGCCATGAAGGTAATTCTGAGAATCTGTAATTACAAAATCCTCTTTCAACAGACCTTAATTTTATATCTTAACCTATGACTTCAAAATACTCCTGTATCTGATCTAATCTTCTATCTTAGTCTAATCTTACGAATGTTTGTATGCACGTAAAAAATCTTAAAATTATGTTTCTGAGCAAGTAAATCACTGAAGTTCACAATCAACATACATTACTGAACGTGCTAAAAATACATTTTACACAACTACTATTATGAATACAAGAATTCAACAACTACACCTAGAGAGCTCAGAGCAGAGCAGTACTACATTAACATTCGATTGTGCTCTGACCTCATTTCAAAAGCAACTCAAATATGTCGCAGGCTTTAACCTATAAGTCCATAAATGGAGGAATGCTCCTAAAATCTCATTTTATGACTGAGACCATAACGAGGCAATGCTTGCATTGTGTGCACCATGCCTACAGGTTTAGACCCAAGGAGACCCTTAACCTCAGTGAATGGACAATTAGTCTCGACTTGAATACTTCCTCATTCATTTCAACCATCATTCTCAGTTCACTTATTCTGGTAGAGCCTGTAGCCAGCTCTCAGAATATATCATTACTTACTAAATTATCCCCGAGTCCAAAACCAGCCACAATTAATCTGTTCCTGTGGTTGGATGTACTGATCATCCTTCCATCCCCTCTACTGCCAACCTCAAATGAGGGGGACTGGTGCAGTGGGTGCCTTGAGAGGCCATAGATTTCATTTGAACTGTGATGTTTCAATCAGTATTATCTTACCAGTCAACTACTCTGCCATCTATGAATCAAATTGAATTCACAAATTTCCACTTCAGTTCCAACTACCCAATCACTCCTAAAGGAAAGAGAATGATTTCAAAGACACTTGGCCATGGGCTTTACCAAAAAAGTGATATCATGATCAATTCTCCACATCCAGCTATTGCCCTTTAACCAAGCAGGTTTTATTATACTTAACCAGGCAAAACATGGGAGATAAGTAATACAAGAGCTCCAGTACTGGACAGTCAAACACCCTCTGCAAAAGTTGATCATTGGATTCACCAGATTGATAAGTTTATCTCCTTAACTCTATCAAAAGGCTTAGTGTTGTCCTGGATCCACTGGGAAACAAAAACCCATCAGAATCCAGAGCCCCAATCAACAGCAGCCAAAAAACCTGTCTGAATAATATGATTGAAATTGCTTGTAATAAGTGCACTATGTATGTGTACAGAGTGCAGGGCAGATATAAAAGTAAGAACTTTTAAATACAAATAAAGAGGAAAAACCAATGACCCTGGTGATCCATCACCAAACTAACATTAACCTAAATCTTTGAAATGACTAAGAAAACGAATTTACAATGGAATAAAAACATGAAACTCCACAGAGGATAAGGGTAGACAAATGTCTTTCTACTTAACTTGTATGCTAAAACTGAAGAGGAAATAGGAAGAGGCTTCAAACAAAATTAAGTGAGGAAATCTCAACAAATTGTTCAAAGTGGATCTTATAGTCCCACAGCTGTCTGGATAACTCAAGAGTCTTAGTCTTTTGAATTAAAAAAAGCAAGTCAATGAAAGAAACAATCAGCAAGACTGATTCCTATTGTAGTCAGCTAGGAAATGATATGCTTTTAATGAACGAAACTGGATTTGTGTGGACTCAAGGAGGACAGGGCCAACACTATGAGATGGTGGTTTCTGATTGCCTGGATACTTGCTTCAAGCAGACTTATGGTACCCCCCCCCCCTCCAAATCTTTCCAGAGGAAGAGTTATGTGCAGGAAGGAAGGCTGAACAGATCAATAATGATGAATAGATCAATCCTGGTAGACCTCAGAGAACCAACCAACCTCAAATGCCCTCTATTACACTGTCCCCTATTATAGTGTCATTTGGGAGAGGGTGCCAAGCCAAAAAATAACAAGAGGCATAACTCACATTTCCTCCAACATGTTTACATGGGTAAAGGGTATGGAGTAACCCTAAGGCTTCCCCCTCTTGCTGGGTTCATAATTTGTAGGTGTAACCCAGGTTCATGGAATATTTAAAAGTGAGAAAGCTTTTCCTTCCTCATCTTATTTACTCTTTCTAAGTGATCAAATTCTGCCCAAGCTGGTCTGTCTTATCCCAATGAAGGTCACCCAATGAGTCCCCTAAACCAACAACCAGATTGGACATTCTTGACATTCCATTCCGGTCTCATACCAGGGTTAACCTAAGTCCAGGTACTGACACCTGGCAACAAAAAACACCCCTAAAGGTGAACTGACTCACTTCAAATTTGGAAAGCCTCAGTGACATAGCCCAGCATTACACAGTTCCACCTTTCTGAAACAACACATGAAGCATTGGTTGGATCGTAAACAAAATGTAAACAAATCTTTGCAAAAAGACAACCTATGTATTTGTACCAACTTGGAATGCACAGATTCAGCCTATAAACCTCTTCAAAATTACAATTAATAGGGGGATCATAGCTCTTAGGTTTCGAAAACAGGTGAAAGGTGTGGCTGGAACACCCAAGGACTGTATCCAAAATCCAATATGGCCACTACCTAGAACAACTTACTGATAATGGATGTGGCAAAACAGATTAGTAACTTAATCTTTTTAAAGGCACATTTTACTTCATGGTTACAATTTATTCATGGGGAGCCTAACTGGTCAAATTAGCTGTCCAGCCATCAGCATCACAGGTCTCATGGGTCTAGACCCAAAGTCATAGTGTGCACAATACTCAAGCACCAGGTCATAAGTTTCATTAAAATTTCTCCATTAACTTTCTGGATATTTTGGTTCATTATAACAATTACATAAAAATTGGGACCAAAACATGTGAGCTTCCACCTTCAGCTTTACTATAGAGGCAACTACTGTGCAGGTACTATCATTAAAATTAAAGTAAGTTATGACCACATGAATTAAATGCCAACATATTATTAGTATAATAATCAGTGATACATTTCAAGACGATTATTGAAAACAATTCATATGTTCAAGCACCATCATGAATTAAATAATGTTTAAAGATAATTTAAATAACTAATCAAATTATCATAAGGTTGTGCATGAAAGCTGCAACTTCTACATATTTTCACTTGCATTTCTCATTTCCAACTATCCTATAAGGCATGGTACATTAATTTTATGGAATACTGAAGATATTTTGACCTAGCTAATTATTTGTTCTAAATATCTTTCTCATCAAAGCTCTTCATATAAAATACTATGCATTCTGCACATTTGAAAATGGCCCAAAACATGACCTGGATCTTTTACAAGGAATTTTAACAATAATAAAAGATAGCAGAGGATAAAGTGAATCCATAATACAGTACATTTAGTACAGTAGTACAATCTTCCCTGACTACCTTACTCTACCTCTGAATACCAAACCCTGTAAATTTTCTTATAGTGTTGTATGCTCATTGATCATGTAATGTACAATATGAAGACTACATGGTCATATTTGGGCTTTTCCCCTCAATGAAGGCAGCTGCTGAGTACATATTGTGCAACTGTATAATGGAAGCTCTATGTGCAGTTAATAATTCTATGAAAATTAAATTCATACAGCAGTTTCACTTACTACAAAATTAGGCTACTCCAATTGACAGAACTAATTCAAATCCTATACAACTATCACTCGGGTAAATATATACAGGTATGAGATTCACCACAGTTTAGGTAGAACAAACTTGGGAAGATAAAAATGTTTCTCTTCATGCTTGGCAAAAGTAAACCAGAAACCTGAAGTTCATAAGACAGTACAGTAAATAAATAAGTTGAATGAGAGGCCTAAGTGTTCCGCTGAGTTACATCATCTGAGTATTGTTTATTTTTGGCATTTCTTTTAAGAAATTTTTCTCCACCTGTTCCTGAAAGTTATAATGTATTTCCTGATACAGTACAGTATATATATTCAGTAACACATTAATAATTTGCATCTAATCTGCACAACAGCATATTTGAGTAAAAAGAAAAAATTACATTATAATAAAGGACCAATTCTAGACCTTAGCAGCCACAGTTGAACTCCATGAAGTTCTTGAAATTATGATCGTCCACATGAATGTTAAAGGGCACCTCCATCTTTATTTCTTTATACTCTACAAGAACCATGAGGGCTAAAATGTTCATATTATGGCCTTAAGGGTGACAAGTTCAAATATGAAGGTCACTGGCCCCTAACATCCACCTGTTTGTGCTTGTTTCTGTGGCCCTCTAGATCCTTCAGGACTGATAATCAGCTGCTTGAGGTTGCCGCTACTCCTGTTGAAGCATAAACTCCTCGAGGTCAAAATACACGGCACGAGACCTTACTCTAATGCATGGTGAGTGTCTTGTGAAAGACATATATTAAATCTTAAACTATATGTCATCTCATCACACAAACATAGACCTGAAAACTAAAGCAAAATAGAACAAGTGATTTTACAAACACCCAGAAGCTTGACACTCCCAAAACAGGAAAAAGCATCAAGTGTTCGAGTTAATGATTATGTTCGGCAGCTTGCTCCACTCATCCACTACTCTATTTCCAAACCAGCATTTACCTATCTCACTTCTAAATCTAAATTTCTCTAATTTAAAACCATTGCTATGAGTTTGCTCCTGAATGGACAGTTTGAGTACCTGTACCTTTGTTATATCAATTTGTTTAACCCTGACTTCCATTTGTACACCTTGATCATACTGCCCCTCATTCTATGTCTCTCGGGATTTGTCTTGTCATCCTCCTCTGCAGTCTAAGGATTCGTTATCCATTCTGTAGTATGGTGACCAAAACTGAACCGCATAATCCAAATGAGGTCTCACAAGCGCAAGATACTATAGTTTTAGGATAACCTCGCTAGTCTTATAACTAACAATCCTTTTTATAAACCCAAATACTGTACTTTGTTAGCCTTGTTTCAATGTTACTATCTACACCTATATCTATGTCATTTACATACAGTACACCCAGATAATTCATGGATTTTTATTTTGCAGTCCTCTATTATTCGCAGATGACATCCTGGATCTATCCAAGAATATCTGTGGGTAGTTTTAAAGTTGCCGGCATTTTTGCGGGCGGGAAAGGGAGCCACTCATTCTAGAGACAGTAATTTCCTTTACCTGTATTGTATATATGCGAGTGTGTATGTGTAAACACACACACACACACAAAACACATACAAATAAATAATAATGGGAAAAACCTCTCACAAATAATCAGAAACAAATTTAGTTAAAATGTGACAGTCTACCCTCAAGTCTGTCCAAGGGCAAACACATTAAGGGAATATACATTTCTTTGTATACAAGTGAAAATGTACACCCCACAATGACTCTTCTGACAGCAGGTGCTGATCCTCACATTATACCTTCACAACATTTACACTAACACTTTAAGCTGTGTGGCCCAGTCAGAAACACAATACAGTCGACCCTCGTTAATTCCGACCCCTTTAATCCGGATATCAGATAAATCGGACGAAATCTGAACTAAGCGAGGGACTGTTCGTGTCAAATTTCTGGTTCTGGGATTGTCCGATAGATGGGTCACGCGCGCACAAGACCGCCAGTTATTGTTGACCTAGCGAGTATCAGTGTTGTGTTGCCCTGCAATTTTCGTTGATATTTCAGTGATTAGGCATCTTTCAGCCTTGTATTTTACATCATGGCTTCAAGGGGGAGTAATACGCTGAAAAGGAAGTATGTGACCCTTTCTGTGAACCAGAAACTGGAACTTATAAGGAAGTTAGTGGCTGGTGCTTCGGTGTCTAGAGTTTGTGACGAGTATGATGTTAAAAAGCAAACAGTTTCGGACATACGCAAGGCTAAGGACAAACTCATTGCACTTTCTTTGAAATATAATGTTGATGCAACTTCTAAATCATCATCTGTTAGTGCAAGGAAGCGTATGAGTGGCAAAGGATACAAATCTTGAGGAGGCAGTGAGGAAGTGGTTTGTGCAGCAACGATCCTGTGGTAATGTCGTCCATGGTGTAGAAATTCAAGCTGCTGCTGCTAAGCTAGCAAGTCATATGGGCATTGAGAATTTCGAAGCTAGTGACGGGTGGTTATGGCGATTTAGAAAACGCCATGGAATGTGTAATAAAATTACCCATGGTGAAGCTGGTAGCGCACCCACCGAGGGCATCGAACCATTCAGGAAGAGGCTAAATGACTGAATTAAGAGTGAAGGGCTCCTGATTTCCCAAGTCTATAATGGGGATGAAACTGGGTTGTATTGGCGGTCCCTAGAAGACACAGAGGGTGACCCTGGATACCAAGTCTGAACAGAAGAAGAAATAGCAGATGAAGTTCTCGTTGGTGACAGCAAAGATAGTGAACATGAGGAAGACGACGAACCATTGCCCAAGAAACCCAAACTCTCTGTTATACGAGAATCCACTGATAATGTCATTTCGTACATTGAATTGTCAGCAGAAACTGATGATGTTCAGCATTACTATCAACATTTTAGAGCCTTTAGGGAACTCATTATCCAGAGGCAGCATCATCAAGGTGAACAACTGAAACTAGACTCATTCTTCAAGCCAGTTTGTCCCAACCCTGCTGCAGCTGTTGAGCCTGCTGACGATATTGATGACCCTCCTGCTGCTGACTCAAGCCATCCTCAGTCACCTCAGCCTTCTACGAGTGGGGGACAAGGACCAGTGGAGCATCATAGCTCTACTGACTCCGAGTGACAAGTTATCACCACTACCCCCCACCTCCACCACATCAAGCTAATCTGTCATCTACCAAAGGTAAATGAAATTAACAATTTACGGTATTAACTTTTTTATTTTTACATTTATTATAATGTTTTATATAGCTAGTTATATGATGTTTACAGTATTTCCTGTATTTTTGTTACTGTGTATCATGTTCAGCGTACAGTGTATATACGGTACTGTATTTCCTAACCGAACCTAAATCGGTTAATTCGGACATTCAGCTAAAACGAACACCCTTCTCCCCCTATTAGTCCGTTTTAATGAGGGTCGACTGTATGGTATTTTCTTGATTTAACGAACTAATTCAAGCCACCCCTTTCCATTAAATCAAAATTTCGGTTAAATTGAATTTCCATTGAATTCTGCGCCAAATGAGCTGTTTGGCGCGTGGGGTTTACATCCGCTCACTCCTGTGTCCTGCCGCCACTGCGTGTGTTGTTAACTGCTACCTCTGGGCCTACATCTCAGTCAACTAACGACTGTGCTTAGACATCATGCTGAAAGTCTCTCAGAAGTCTCAGGAAGGAAGTGATGGGGGAGAAAGTCAAAAGAGTGCAGCTATCAACTGGAAAAAGTTTGGAAATTATAGACAAAATTTAAAACAAACACTGAACCCCCTAGTTTAAGGCAAGCCATGAATAATGTTTCTATGTACATATCATGTGTCTGAGGTGTCTCCATAGGTGTGAGCGTATTAATGAAAGTAATCTCGATTTAGCAACTAGATCATTAAATCGAGTGAAAAATAACGGAAAAAATTCCTTCCGCTAAATCGAGTTCATTATGTCGAAATCCGTTAAATTGAGAGTACAGCATGCCCTTAAAATTCATGGGGTTAGGTTCTCAAAATGACCGTGAATAACCAAATCCGCAATTAACATTTGCTGACCAGGGGGTGGGGGGGGGGGTTACATTTTTATTCGTGTGCAGAGAAATGTGGTCTCACATTTTTAATACATTGTGTTGTCTAGTTTCTGATTATTTGTGAGAGGATTTTCCCATTATTATTTATCTGTATGCATTGTGTGTGTGTGTGTGTGTGTGTGTGTGTGTGTGTGTGTGTGTGTGTGTGTGTGTGTGTCTACACACACACAAATATATGCAATACAGGTAAAAGAAATTACTGTCTCTAGAATGAATGGCTCCCTGTTCTGGCCCCAAAAATGCCACCAACTTTAAGACTACCCTTAGACATTCTTGGGTACATCCAGGGTGTCATCCGCAAATTAAAAATCAGTGAATTGTCAGGGCATGCTATATACTGTAACTGCAGAAACTTAGGGGGCAGTACTTCTCTGTACAATAAACTGAAATTGAGTCACGTGACCAGATACTGAAATGGAATGATCCTGAGTTATGGGTTATAACTGAACATGTGACAATGGCAAGTGTTCCTGATGCCAGTCAGTAAGACTTACCTTTTAACAACTGGGGAAAATGTATCCCCTCTTGGGTACATAGTTTCTATTAAGAGGAAATATCTAATCTGGAAATTATTTTCAATATTAGCTGGCCATAGAGACATGCCTATCTAACACTAGTCACATGTTTCAAGGGTTCAAATTCTGGGTGTTCAATGCTATACACTGTGGACTGTACCTGGAGTTGACTGAAATATATTTAAGCTACAAAATATGAAATGTTTCTCGACTTAAAATGAATACCTGTACTGTACTTTAAAAATACATATCACAGTTCTAATGATTCAATCACCATATAATAACACGAAAGTAATTATCCTAAGATATTTAAGATATTTAACAAATATGTAAACATACAGACAATGATTGGCAATTTGAATTTTCACACTACAGTACAATACAATATTTAGGTAAATCATTAAATACTCGTACATAAATTAGTGAACAATTCAAAACAGAATCGATGTATGAAATATTATTTAAGACAATACAGGAAACTATTTGTAACTACTGTACCTCAGTTTGATGGTCATTTTGAGAGCCCAGGAGGAATTGGTACATCAAAAACAACAGGAGGGTTGTTGGGGACATAGTTGATGTTACATGTGGAGGCATTAATGAATATTATCTTCCCATCAGTTGTCACGCCATAACCTGTTAAACAAAAACAAAATAATAATAATTTAAATCACAAAATGGTGAGAGTTATTAGTACAGTAGATGCTCGACATATTATGAGACCGAGAATTACCGCAAATTCCTTTAAGTCAACTCTTTCTTTCACTTCAACACTATTTCCATTTCAAAACACTTAAAAAATTATAATTCAACTTGAGTCTGAACAATTGCTGACTGGGATAGGGTTGTAGTGTTACTAGATCACTTGACTCATATCCTACAGTTTGGCTCAAGATGAATTTCTGTTGCTAACTGCACATGTTCTGTGGGGCATGATAGTTCAATGATAAGATGAATCAATAATCTGTATAATACAACTGATACAAAATAATTCTTCAACTCACACCATGGGGACTTTTAAACATAAGTATTCATTAGCAGTCAACCAATCATCTATAGAAAGAAATTTCACAGAGTGCTAGCTATGTTGTTACCATTACTTTGTTGAAGATGTAAGTGTTCCAATCAATAACTATAGACCTGACTGATCAGTCTACATAAGCAATATACCTGATGATTTTTTTCTTCTTTATCAGTATTTTCTCTTTTTTACTTTTCATCTCCTAGGTCTGAGTACCTGTACTTGAGTTGAGGAATAAGGGCAGTACAGTACATCAATGCCATGACTGGATTGACTGGAGTTCCTCCAAACCTCATTGCTGTACCGATCATGACCATGGGAGGTTGACCTGATGTCCTTAGCTAGGACCACAAGTGTTACAAATAATGGATTAGGATTCAAGTCAGTTCACTCCACGTGATGATGAAGTCAGCAGTAACAACTGGCAGACCTGTGGATTACCTTCAAGTGAGAGGATATTGTACTAGCATTCTTGGAGAACTCAGCAATCTGTGAAACTTAGAAGTGAAGTGTAGGATGAAATTTTGGGTTTGTGATTCAATATCTCTGGTGGGAAGGATTGAGACACGGATGGAATGTGAAGGTTTTACTTCTGTTGTTGACTTAAAATGGAAACACTCCACTTTTACTCTAGTTTGATCATTTCACAGATTCCTTCTTGTGAAAGAAATGAAACTTTTTATCATGTTCAATATCCCATACCAATCATAAACATAAAAATAAGCCATCATGTAACTCAACTGTTTAGTTATTTTGATATCTTCTCAACAAAATTATGGCAGAGTAAATTGGTTAAGTTATATTATTGAATTGTGAATTTTTCTAAATGGCAGATGGCCTGCTTGATAGGAGAAGGCAAATTAAGAGGTTTACTGTACTTGATCAACCTTATAAAAAATGCCTTAATATCTATTACAGTTTTCCACTAACCTTCATGTATATGACCAAACACATGGTACTTGGGTTTGACCCGGGTTTGGACAGTAGAAAGTAGCTCAACACACCCAGCTCTGACCCCTGTACAACAAAGGTCACCATGACCAATGGGTGGTGTGTGGGAGATAAGGATATCAGTGTCAGCAGGAATGGCATCCCATTTTTCTAAACAAAGCTTCCCTCTTGGTAGATTGAAGGCCCAATTACAAAATTCTGGTTGCCTGTGGGAAACAATGAAAATTGCAGTACTGCTTAACACCCTATATGTCAAAGAATGAGATAAAAGTACAGTAACTAAACTCACCACACCCAAGCTGCCTGAGCCATGTCTTGTTGTTTATGTTCACTAGTAACAGCTCATTTCTTACCAAATAATAGTATCCTTATACTGTATTTGGCAGTAACATTAAAATTAAAAATTATATTGCATTTTTTCCACAAAGACGTGATTATCAAAGCAGAGTTGCTCTCTTTTTTAGCCATCTTTTGCAACATGAAGGGCAGAAAAGCTATAAAGTACATGGGATCTATTCCCATTCATTTATGTAGATGAATCACTAGAAGAGAGAACATTATGACAGCGTTAGCAAATGGAGAGCACAGCAGGTAAGAAAGTGATAAAGGCAGCAAAGATGGAGGTACGATAATGAGAGGATGACCAAGAAAAAGATGGATAATTCTTATTGATGAATTAGTGAGATTGTGCAGTTTCATATCAGACAATAATCATTATCATCAATGTTTTACACCTATTTTCCCCACTTACTTGAGTTATCCACAATTACCTAATGGTAGCTCTCCATGCTGATGAGATGGGATGCAAAAAACCTTGCACCTCCAACAGCTGTCATCAGGTTAATCCTGGCTAAGCCAAGCAAGTGTGGAAAATGGCCTTAAAATGATGATCATGATCATATCAATTTATCTCCCATCATACATACCATGGAGTTCCATAGAGCTTGATGCCACATATAGCGTGGGGCTCATCTTGTAAGTATGTAGCATTAGTGATCAAGTCGACTGTATTAGGTTCTGCAACAGCGGCCTTCAACTGCTCACGCTCCATCCCCAAATCAGGGATCTCATTTATGAGGCCTCCGCCTAGAATAATAATTATATTGGCTAATTGTTACCTAAAGGTTTACAGCTCCATTAACAGTACTGAACAGACTTCATAAACCACGGAGAAAAATGGAGGACAAACATAAAATCCCATCTTATTGGAGGGGTAAAGTAATGTATGTGATCCTAGCAATCTCAACAACCCATGACAGAGTTCATGAGCATCCTGAGGCATTTATTCAGTTTTAAGATGCATGAATCAAGAGAATAATAGAGTAGGTGCCAACACAGCTCTGCCTAGTCACATCAGTATGTATCATTTTAAGGTAAGCTGTGGTGTGGTGAATATCCATATGGGCAGCAAGTTTCTCACTCAGGAGTTATACTATATTCTCAATACTCAACTACATCTAAAAAAAAAGAAAAACCTAAGCCATAAAGGAGGGTTTTCAAGCACCATGAAAAAAAATTCCTTTAAGAGCACTTTTTTTTTTACTTAAACACTAATTCCATAATTTCAAATACTTTTTAACATATTATAACTCACCTTGAATGTGAATAAATACTTCCTGGACTGCAGGTTTTCAGACTCAAGGTGAGTGATGGAACAATAGAACTTTGGGTGTCGGAAATCATGTGTGATCTGTGTACGTAGATGCTGTTGGTCTGTACTACCAATGGGAGAAACTTTAAAACTCATCAGCTTTTGATTTGTGTTTGTATGATATTTCACCTTAAAAAACACATCAGAAGAAAAGCACTGTATTAAGAATATTTAGTGCTTCTCTGGAAAATTAAATAATAAAATCATACTCAATGCTGTTCTTACACTCAAGTACTGGTATGATTACTTAGGAAGTATCCCATCTACTCAGCAAGGGTAGAATGTGAACGAGGTACCTGGTATGTGTACCTAAGAATACCGAGGAGTTCCATACTTGCAGGTGTGGAGTGTACCCGGGATGTGGTGCTATGATATAACATGTGGTGCTGTAATGTAACATGTGATGCTATACTCTAACAAGTGGTGCAGTCTGAAGTGTTGGATGTTATGGTAAGAAGAATGACCGAGGTAAGGAGGTCATTGGTTGTTATGAAGAATGATGATGATAATAGTAATTATTTGATGTAAGACGTGTATTGATGTGAAGTGTAATGAACATAATAGTTGGTCTTCTGATGAAGGCCAACTCTTTTTGTATTGTGACGGGATGCAATATGTCTTATAAGGAATAAATTAGTTAAGTCATGCTTGATGTTTCACCCTTCTTCCCACTCTCAATTTGGTCAATGAAAAACCCAACCCAATGCCTAGCTTACTCTGTCCGCTACCTAACGAGCTACATACTGTCCAAGGGGGTCTGGTGGCAGCGACCTTAAAATTAAGAATAGAGTTAAATTATCCCCTGAGAATTAGTGACCCCAGAATTGGGCAGTATAGCAGGTATATATACAGGATATTTACTTATGAATGACTTTATGGCAAAACAAACCTCAAAAGGATACAACATCACATATAAACAGGGTCTAATGAAATAAGTTAATGGAAAGTAAAAAAATCTATTGTAATACAGCGTGAGAATAATACTTGCCCATGAGGACTGTCTATCAGGGAGGAGAGCAGCTCTTCACAATAGGTTGTCAGTGGTGGAGCTGAATTGTATTGAAACATGAATGCCTTCTATGGCTCAGGTGTTATGAAATGCAAAGAGCTTCTTTGCAGCTCCTGGAATTTTACTGAAAAATATATCTGGATGCTGAATATCTGTACCCAAGATTACTAGCAATCTCTGTCATGGGGTGTTCACTGCACTGTTATCACAGACATCATCCACCAAGAACTGTAAGCTGAAATATATCTGCACAAGACTAAATTGTATTAAGTACTGTACCTGTATGTGCTGTTTTATGATGCTGTCGGACTGACGGGCCACCGGTGAACTTGGGGTCAAAGCTGAGCTCATGGTTGCCAGCGATAACCACTTTATACTTGTGAGGCAGTGAACCTGAGATATAAATCCTTCTAATTATTGGAAAACAATACATATTAACAACAAATCAAGAAATACTGTCAAAAATTTACATGCACAGTAACATAACAGCCCTAGCACCTACTTGTGGCACAATCGGCTTTAATATACTGTACAGGTACAGTGCAGTATTTCTAAATAATTACATACTGCACTATAATCATGTTATAACCCATTTACTGTACTTTAGATTACAAGTTTATTTAAACTTTATGTACTGTGCTTATCTATCAAAGCAATCCATTACCTGTAGTTCAAATTTGCTCTAGTGGCATGAACTGTGTGACATTGAAAAGACATCCTTTTGTCATAATAATAATTTATATTTAGGCAATTTCACTAAGTATAGCCATCAAAGTCATCAGATGTTTATTTCCAGTAGGGTCTTTTAGTTAAAATGCCAAGAGTATCTGGTGTTCGCAAGGGGTCACCCACTCAATTACTGTATTAACTAGACCCAATGTTACTTAACTTCACTGGTAGGATGAGAAGCGATATTTTCAATGTTACACTGCATGCCAAATGTGTTTAAAGAACTTCAGTGTTAAATTGTTTCAGAATCCTACTACACATTAAAGCCTTACCAATCCAACTATTGAATTCTTCAATTTCAGCAGCACTGCCACATCGAGTAAAATCTCCAGCATGAACGAAAACATCACCGTCAGGTATCTCAAACTGGAGGTGTGATGTGAGGCAGTGGGTGTCACTCATACACACAAACCTTAACTGTAAGATGGATAATAGATATCTTTAAGGCTTATAACCATGTTATATTAGTTTTACTTTAAAACTTGGACTGAATACTGAAATCTCATTTTAAGGCTGTGTGCTGAAATAAATGACAACATGTTGACAGAGTCTTCTGTCAATGTATCCTGGCCTTAAAGATGGTGAGCAAAATGCTTGCCAGACATTTTCGAAGTTCCACTACTCACTTCACAGTCACAAAAACATGATAATAATGATGGAAACTCAATTCTTTTATGAAAAAATCCGTTCTAATTAAGTTAGAAACAACATTTTTTCTACCAAAATATCACTGAATAATTTATCTAAAAGTGTGGTTCAATAAATATATTTAAAAATCTAAATATCTATATGATATACCGGTAAGCATGTGAGGCACCTCGTGCATGGAACTGTGGGTCACAGTGGAATTATCCACTGTTTTCCCCGAGTCTAAGCGACACATCTCACACAGACAGATAACAAAAGCTGTATTCATTTACACAAACATCACTGTACACGTACAATATACAGTATTATAAATAAACAAAATAATGTACAGTATATTACAACTGTCGTCTTGAGCCTACAGAGGAAGTATACTGTCCAATCTCCTGAATGTAATATGTAACTGTAATCACTTTTTACCTCTTTAACACTAGTGAAGGAGGTGTGGAAGGTGATCAGTGGGTCTCATGTTAACTGACCTGACCGGATGCAATGTCAGGCCACCACACCCATTGTCGGGGGAGGGGGGATCAGAGTGAAAGAACTTCAGTCATTTAAACAGGGAAAGAACTTTAAAGTCACTATAACATAGTAAAATTTGAACTTTAGTGATGTCCTCTCACTGTAATGTAAAAAAAACAACTCCAATAATGACTGATAAACATTACGGACTATTTCTTAGACACACCTCAGCTGACAAATGAAGTGAGTAATGCATTCCATATGCCAAATTCGGGAGTTGGCAGGATAACAAATATCATTAATGCGAGTGGTCTTAATATATTAGATTCATTACCACGAATTATCATAGATTAGGATATCGTAAATTGAGGTTTACCTGCACTGAGAACTATGTGGACCAGCCCAAAATTTCACTCGTGATCAAAACTGAAGCACAGCATTATCTCAGTGTCCTAACTAAAGTCTGAGATATCCAGCCACTGAGGAGGCCAAGAAACTGAGAGATGTCTACACAGGGATGGAACAGTTTTAATGCTTAACAGCCCCATTATGACTGAGCCAGACATAGGTTGAGTTGGTTGATTGCTGAGAAGACACTCACAACTCATTGCTTTTTACTTTAAATGGTGAACTCTTGCTTTTAAAGTTTTGTTTTGGGGCTTGACTGTGATAGAGAAGCATAAGTACAGTAACACAAATTAGTCCCTGCTTATAATGACTATGAGCTAAACCTTGACTTACAACCCTAGACTCATGGCTGTGATTCATGTGTTGCCTAGTAAGGGTTGTCAGCCATAAATTCAAATTACTGTACCGAATATAGCACAGCACTTTACCCAAGGAGATAAGACCGTAAACTTAAATGTCAGTGTTATATTTTAAATCAGCGCAAACTTTTGGCCTCCAATTCAAATTAATATAACCATTCTTGCATTTAAAGTGGTATACAAGACAGCACCAGTAGATCAAGTTATCCAAAATCTCAACCTATCCATTTTGTTAACATGAAACAACATAGAAACACGAAAAATTTTCCTCTCTAATAACATAAAGATACAAATAAAGCCTTATGTAATTACTCAGTCATTAAACATCTCTGGTGTATTACTGTACCATATTTTCATTCGGAGGTGTTGTCGGGGTCTTGACATTTAATTTAATTACTCGTTGGTTGGGTCTGATCTGCTCCCATGCTTCTGTGGGGTTGTGTGTGGTAGGGTGTATGGGTATGCTCAATCCTGACATCATGAATCTGATGGAAGAAAAATTCTAAATGAATACAGTATTGTATATAATGCCAGAATCTCAACAAACAGTATTGCCTATCTACACCTAATAAACATATGACCTACCAATAGTAATGCAAGTACAGTAGAGTACAATAGAGTACAGTACAGTGCAATACAGTACTGTGCAAATAATTGCCAGTAATACGAATAGTTTGCATATACAGGTACTCCTCGACTTACAACAAACTCGACTTACGACAACCTGGACATACGACCGCCTCAGTCGTATAAAATATTTTTCAAATTATGTATTTTCTAGTACCGACGTTAGTGACCGCGCTGTGCACTGACAAAATTTTTGTTTGTAATTCCCTTTAAAATGGCTGGCAAGCGCAAAAGTGAGAGTTCTCGTGGTGCTGAGAAGAAAAAGAGACACCCATTTTAGAATTTCTATGTAATATTTTCACCTTTTCGACTTAAGACCAATTCGACTTACGACCCGGTCATCGGGATGGAACCCTGTCGTTAGTCGAGGAAAGACTTAGGTTAAAGTGACTAAGATGCCTTATTCTAGATACCTTCTACTGTACAAAAGTGTTTTATTAAATTCATTATACAGAAATTTGAGAAATTTATGCTTCCATAAACAAGGAAACTGCCATATCATGCTGCACAAACAATAGATTCTGGCATAAGCTACAGTATATAATATCTGTACTCCTGCAGATGTAAATGATCTACCTATATGTATCATAATTGAGCATGCAGAGATTAACATTGTTTATTTGAAACAATAAATCTTTAGCAATCTTAATAATCTCTACTTTGCATATGGCATGCAGCTATAAATCATTAAAATATTAAACAGCAATTACTTACAGAATATAAGAAAAAATAACACCTACACTAATTTTCACTAAATAATTGGCAAAAAATATACGTATTTGTACTCTCCTCTTAGGCAAGGAAGCCAACAAATTTTATTTTTCAGTCATTAGTATCATTAAATCAAACTATAAGTGTATGTAATGATTGGTGTAGTTAAACATCGTCCATCTGTAAAAAAAAATTTCATCCAAGGCTAAGTAGGTTAATTTACATTAGGTTAGGAAGGTTTGGTAAGGTAAGGTATGGAGAGGTTGCTGGGAAGCAATCATGGTGCCCAGTGACTGACCAAACACCAGTAACCTTTTCATACCTTACCTAGCCAAACCTATCGAACTTAATGTAAATTAACCTAAACCTAACCTAAAATATTAATATAGTGTACTTTCAACCTAGAATAAATAGGTTAGGTAGGCTCATCTTATCTATGACAAAATATTAATGTGCAGTCACCGTCACTAGTGCGTTTACAGGGGCTCGTCAGGTTTTGTGCAGTGTGGCAGCCCTGTGATTGTTTTCATTTGACAGAAGGAAACTCGCAATAGTAAAACATACTATGGAATCAAATTAAAACAATATTAAAACAAATATCTCAAAGATAATGATTTGTGGAATGTTGATATGACGAGCCCCTGTAAATGCAGTTGTGAAGAGGGCTGTACATAAGTCAACATCGTCTCAATGTATATTTGTGTTCAGGACGGAATCAGCGGCAAATGTATATAATTACGAGAGTTGTGATTCGCATTACCGTGGGATATTTTAGAGGTCACAAAGAAATATTTTCTATACAAAATTTTCTTTTAAGTTGCTGGTTAACACAAGACCTTGTACCAGAGTATTACTATAATATGTACTGTTAACAGGTAACACTCTGAATAATCAATTATTTATTGGTATTGATAGTACAGTGGTAAGCTGTCATCCCACTTGGGCAATTCCCACCGAGACGATCATTTGTTTTAAGCAATTTTTATCATTTTAGTTAAATTAACATCCAAGTGGGATGCTGTCGTAATGCATGTCTCTCTCACCAGTATCTCCGAGGGTTTGAGTTATGCTTGGTCCGGACACACGTGAGCAGGGGTGTGCCCATTGCGTCACCAGCCCATTTTGTCACCACATTTTTGACCCATTTCGTCACCACTTTTTTTGACCCATTTCGTCACCGCGTTCATTCCCATCATCATTTCAAGGGCTTTGGACTTTCACTACATATTCACTGAAGCAGTGAAGACATAATGGCTGGTTTACTATCTTTGTGTACATACACTGGATCATGCAAGCATCTCACTAAGCAACTTCATTAAAGAAGGCATGTATGGACAGTAACTGATAAAATGTTTTTTGTTGAGTTCATATAAAGGAGTGTTAGTTACATGACTAACAAGGTCATCCTAAAGCTATATCTTGTGCTTATGAGACCTCACTTGAATTTTGCAGTTCAGTTCTGGTCACCAAACTACAGAATCCCTAAAAAAAAATCAGAGGAGAATGACAAGACTAATCCAGGGCATTAGGAACCTTGAGCACAGAGACAGGTTAAAACATCTTAATCTGCACTCCCTCGAGAGACGTAGAGTGAGGGGTGATATGATCGAGGTGTATAAATGGAAGTCAGGGCTAAGCAAAGGTGATATAACAAAGATACTCAAACTATCCAACCAGGAGCGAACTAGTAACAATGGTTTTAAATTTGACAAATTTAGATTTAGGTGCGAGATAGGTAGATAATATTGCAATTTAAAGCAACCACAGAATTCCAGAAATTCACTACAATTAATCAATACAGTAGAACTGATTCTTCTGTGATAATTTTCTTATATTACACTTCCATCACAAACTGATAATAAGGAAGTTATTGAATTTTAAAAAGAATAAAATCAGAGCATCTGTTGCCCCTACGCAGTTGCTCAAATTGTATGTTCACTTACCTCCCGCGCATGTGCCGGGGGGCGGCCGCCAATCAAATCCAATAAAAAATCTCAACATTTGATTCAACCAATTAGCGTTCAATATTCGGCGTGGGTGGTAGGATACGGGACATTTTTAATCAGTTGCAACAGGGAGCCATTATGTGCTGGGTGTGATTTCAATTACTGGAAGTTTATTGTATTATTTCAATCTAAAAATATGGAAACTTTAGAAAACAGATGAACCCAAGATGCATTCTGGTCCCTGACTCAGAGTAAGGTAAGAAATACTGTAACAGCTATTTATATTCTCGTGAAGGCTGACCATGTGACCATAGCGTTTGGGGGTTCGGGGAGGAGGCCCCTGGCTAGGGTCATCAGAGGTCTTGGGGCAGAGCCCCTGGCTAGAAGGGTAGGTTAGGTTTAGTTTGATTATATGTTATAAGTTAACAAGCACAGAGTACCTGGAATTCAGAACACGCAATCGATAGAACTATTATGAGGGAGGACTAAATTCAAAATGAGTGATTTCCAATAAAAACGAATGTCAGATTTGAACCAATCGCATCAGAAACCATCAGAAAAACACTTTTTTTTTATCATATTCTTTGGTTGCTGTAATCTGCAACTTTACCGATTGGTAAACATTTGTTTGGAAATGAGTAGTGGATGACTGGAACAAGTTTCCAAACATCATCCTTAACTCGAATACGCTGGATAGCTTCAAAAATAGGTTGGATGGATATATGAGCGATGGGGGTTGGGTGTAAACTGGACTGCCCCCCAGTATGGGCCAATAGGCCCGCTGCAGTTTCATCCATTCTTATGTTATGTACTATTTTAAATGGTGTCTTGCAGAAATTAAAATGTGAAACTGATTATCGGTGGCCATGAGTACAGTAGTCTGGTTATCATCATTGCATATCTGTGTATCTGTTCTAATGAAATCAGGTGGCAGGCTGTCAGACTTGAGTTCAAAGTTGAGCTGAGTTGGGTGGTGTGGTCTTTGAGCTTGGGGATGTCTGTTACCTTGTATGACAATGCTGCTTGGTTTAGGCAACTGGTGGGCAGCAGTGGTTCTGTTTGTAGCTAGTTAATTTCTCTTCAACAATGCAGCCAAGGTGAAATTGTCACGTGCGCATCGCTCATTTACAGCTACAGATACTTTTGTTGTAACAAGAAGGCCTGGTGTTCCAGGGTGGTCGTGAGCGTGTAAAATAACCCGCAACTGTTTCATCACCAGACGCGGCCAATCAAAAGCGTTTTTGCTTTTAGAACCAATTAAAATGATTTTGGGTTTAATTCAGAGTATATTTGGCCCAATCAAAATCGAGTTTTATTTTGGGTCTGCGATGGATGTCACTTACAGTATATGGAGCTGATTGCGAGTTTTTAGAAAAAAAAGTAGAAACTATAGCATTTTTTCGGTCCATGGCTTCCAACCTCAGTAAAGTGTACTAAGAGCAAGACTGAATGTAAATATCGCAAAGACCAACATATGTGGCGTTGTGTAAGAATCCCAGAATGCAACGACGAACAAGAACCAGGCCAATAAGGTAAGAAATAGGTGATTCCATCATATGGTGAGAGTCAGTTAAGTTAGGTAAGGTTAGGTTAGGTTAGGTTAGGTTTGGTTTTTGTTTTTCTAGTGTTTTTTGCGTATTTTCTAGTCGCTTAGCCACTTTTTTCGGAAAACGTCAAACGAAAAAAAATCGCAAAAAAACGGCTAATTTCCGCCAAAAATGAAGGTCATATTCGGTCTAAACACACACAAACACACTAGAAAAATATATTTTTTACTTGCTAAAAGTGAACGGTGTGACAATGCAAATTTACCATTTTTTTTCTTATGAAAACTACCAGAACACTTAATATTTATTACCATGTTCCCTAGAGTACTATTGTTACACGTCATGTTACCTAAACAAAGGTACCCGGTACGTTGCTATACAGCACACATACTACTAAAATATGGTGCCAAAATTATTGCCTACCTAGATGTTTAAATATCTTCTACAAATAAATCCATTCACGTAGTAAAGAAGTTTCGTGCAGAGCAAAAAGTAATGATGTGAGACTAGAACATGTGTGGACTTACACTTGTGATGGATAGTGCCGCTAGGTGTTAGGTCAGTTGTTGACATTGGTGAAGCTAGCAGATATTTGTAGCGCTAACTGCTGCCTCCGCTCACTGTTGGCACTTACTTGTCATAGCTAGATACATACTGTATACCAAGATAGATCTTGGGGATTGCTGGCCACTTCGCCTTTCGGCTATTTCGGCAAGATAGGTCGATAGACAAATAGATATATGCCTTAAGAAAGATACAATTGTGGCTAGATAATATATTCAGTAAATTCGTCATATAAATTTACATATATTAAGCAGTTGGCTCTACTCCTTTCACCCCCTGTTTGTGCATACGGGCCTCATATGCTTCAAATTCTGAAGTGTGAATTCGAAGCATTAGGTAGGGTGAGTTGGAGGGAGTGTAGTGGATTTCTCCCCTACAAACGCTGTTTGTCGCTGAGTAGCCGACCCCACCAATTCCCCAGTGTATGCCTCGTGGTCTAGGTCAACCAGCGCCGCCATACATCACGGAGCGGGGGTCAACTACTAAGCCACGCCTACCCCCGCTATTTAAGACCTGACCTCGTGGTGACCTGCCTCTTTCTACCTACAGCCGCAGCCAGCAACACCTCCTCCGCCGCTGCCTGGCGGCCCTCGCTCCTCCTCCGCCTGCCTGGCGGTCCTCGCTCTCGCCGGCGAGCATGGCGACCCACAAACTGGTCCTTCTCTGAGCATCCTCACCAACCAGCTCTCTCTACATCACGCTTGTAACCATGCTGCCTTCCCAGCACCAAGCTGCATTGTACATCCAATACATGTATATAGAGAGCACATTGTGAGTTTCCTTTCTCCATTGCATCCTGAGTGTGAACCAAACATCCTTAACCCCAAGGTGAGTCGGAAAAGATGTCTTTCTGTGGATAGGAGATGCTGAGCATGGGGTACTAGTATAGGGATGAGGACGTAAAATGTATATCAGTTGGGACTTATTACAATGTAGAATTACGTTATGACAATACTGACAGGGTTTCTTCAGCTGAGTGTAATCGTTTAGCGCAAGTCAGGTGAAAATATTGAAATTACAATACGATGAGAGGGCCTGGGGGATGGATTCATGTTCTAAGCAGGGACGGATCCAGGAATATCAAAAGGAGGGTTCAAGAAGTTTTGGGTGCGGGGGGGAACATGGCGAGTAAAGCGAGCCCTTCCAGCTGTGAGCCCCCACCCACATTTTTTTTAATTGAACAATATCATGAGCATTTTGAGGCCATATTGAAGCCATGTACAATTGATATTAGAAGATATTCTGAGGTCAATCATAATTACTTTTTACACCACAAAAAAGCCTAGTACAATACTGCAAGAAAAATTATTGAAATATTCTGATGAAAAGTGGGGGTCTGGACTCCTTGGACCCTTCCTTTTACTTTTACTTTTATCCTTTTCACCACTGTTCGGCTCGTTAGCCGCTTGGACGATCGGTCACGTCTCTGTTACGCACTGTTGGCAAGTACTGGGCATGCACCGGCTCCTGAATGTACCTGAACCCGCTCCAGTGTTGGTCAAGTCTTGTCTTGAAAGTTTCAAGAGCTCACACTTGGTGCCGTCACAACACTTTCTGGAAGATTGATCCAAGAGTTTACAACCCTCACTCCGAAAAAGTTTGCCCTCACAGTTTTCTGGACTTGCGGCTTCTTCAATCTTGAGCTGTGACCCCTGCATCCGCCCTTGCAAAGTAAGGTGTTGACTTGAATTGACGCCTGTAGATAAGGATAAAGAGCTATTGTTTGTTGTTGGGTGGGAGGGCAGGGGTTTGGGTTGGAAGTACTTTGGAGGTACGAGCGGGAGGGGATGAGTTTTAGGAGAAGGTAAATGAAGGGGAAATTTGAAGGAAAGTAGGAGAGTAAAGGTGTTACCGCCACAGTAGGATATGTTACCGCCATAATAGATAAAATAGAAGAGAGAGTGGAAGAGAGGGAGAGAGAGAGAGAGAGAAAGAGAGTTGACAAACTCTGCTGGGGTGTTAAATGTGAAACAGATGGCCCTCCTCTCGGGCTGACTCACTCCCTATGTGGTTTCAGAAGACAGTCTCTATCCGTCCAGTGACCGATCAAGTCAGGGAATTAAATAAGTCCTACATTAGACCCGAAACACGTAAGTTTTATATGGTTTAACACCCTACTCTACTTAAATATACTATATGTAATCGCTAATAGTGATGGAACATACGATTGAATTAATTATCTCATATGTAACATATGTAATTTGTACTCTGCAGGTTTTGACCAAATAAAGAACAATCGAGTCCTACGTATCAGGGTGTCATTAAACCACAGTCGCTCAATGGGCGGCAACAGTCAAAACGTGGGTCCACCGAAATAACTGGAAGCCCACACAGCAACGTCAAGCTGAATTACGGGCAGGGCAGATCGTGTTGCTCCAGCTAAACCTACATTTGCCTACACAGGGACGGACTGCTTCGGAACTTTCAACGTTAAGTTAGGACACAAGCGCCTCAAGAGATGGGATTGCATATTCACGTGTTTGACCACCCGGGCTGTACATCTTGAGGTCCTTGCATCGCTCGACGCTGACGCCTTCCTTAATGCCATTGTAAGATTCTCAGCCCGCTGAGGTACAATCTGATAATGGGACGAATATGGTCGGTGAGTATAAGGAACTGAGATCAGCAGCACGAATGTTGGGCGCATGATGAGAATCTTCATAATGCTATATTGAGGAAGCAGATAGACTGGGTGTTCAATCCCCCCCACCGAGTCACACATGGGCGGCGTGTGAGAACACCAGATACGGACGGTAAGGAAGGTTCTCCGAGTGATCGTGGGATCACAAGCGTTGGACGACGAGCGCCTTCAGACGCTTTTTTGTGAAGTTGAAGTGGTGGTGAACGAGAGGCCTATTACTCCTGTGTCAGAAGATGTCAATGATCTGGAGGCAATTACACCCACTGGCCTCCCATTAGGTGGTCTGTAGATTGGGGCATCATACAGAAAAAGGTGAAAACACGCACAGATCTTAGCAGACCAGTTCTGGAAACACTGGTTGAAGGAATACTTGCCTTTGCTACGCAGCCGACAAAACCAGCTCAAACCGCAGCGCAACTTTCAACATAATGACGTGGTCATCGTAGCCGGAGAATATACCCATTGGAACCAATGGCCTTTGGGAAGGGTTGTTGAAGCGAGGCCTGATGATGATGGGCTATATGTCGTGTTAAGGTGAAGACTACGTGCAATGTGATAGTGCATCCTGTTGTAAAACTCTGTTATCTGGAAGGAGCCTCACTTACAGAGAACACACCTGATGCTGGCGTATAGACACGGAATTGCTGTTTTGTTTTATTTTTTGCTTGACGAGAAGGTGAGCCTCTTTGACCAGTTCCTTTGGCTTCAGCACAGGCACATTCTGCCCATTTTGAAGTACTCCAGGATCTCTTGTATTGTTTTCTTGAGCGTGCACGCTCAACAGGGGAGTGTTACCGCCCACGGGAAACCGAGTCGACAGTGTTAATAACTTGTTAGAAAACAGAATAGTTACGAGGTAGTGAAGATATAAGAGAGGGGAGTGAAGCGAGCTATGGGGGTGTTTACCCTGAGCTACCCTGGTATTTGCTGAATACGCAATTCTGCAGATGGGGAGGGGCCGTCTACATAGGGGATACACTGAGACTACCCGGTCAGACTACCTCTTACAGACATACTGTGGACAGCTAAACCTCTGCTGGCATTACTCATAACACGTAAGTGTGATTGTGATGTATTAAATAATTTACATACAGCATATGAGATTTTCCTATCTTATAATTACACATTCTATAATATAAGTCAACACAACATTATAGATGCTAGAATTTGAGGAATAGATAGATGTGGTTCTGTTACTGTGTTCTGCTATGATTACTGTGTCTAATAACTCTGTGAAGACTTTAAATTATGTGTTAAGGAATCGATTCATTGATATATACTTTGTATTGACAGGTTATGACCGAATTATATTATTCGAGTCCATCGTAACGAGTCTCACTATCCTGCAACTCCATAGTCGACTTAATTGGCGATTGCACACATAATATTATTTACTATCCCCCATAGATCCGTGACATCAATGTTTGTAGATATTGTAAATATAAACACAGACAGTGTCTGGAGTGTTGCTATTACTGCTGTCCTAAACTATTTTGCTACACACTATAATATTAAGTAGAGGAATATAATCAACACCATTGTCATCCCTATATTAAGCAGAGAAAAATTATTAATACTTCTACCTTCACTATTCGCGTATGTTGTATACCTATTTTGTTTATGACTGCTATTGAGCTGTTCACCGTGTTAGTGTAACCAACCATGTACATACATTCATTTTTGTCTCGATTCATAGTTTATCAGGGTCCATTAGGACGTCCAAAATTGAATGCGTATAAACTTGTTCAAGTTAAATGGTGCAAAAATAAAACTATATTATATTATGATATTAAAAATAAATAATGAGGTATATCTATGTTAGCATTAGTTTTCTCTTTCACCAAAATATTCGTCTTCTAAAATTTAAAAATATTATTAAAATCACAACTTTTCCAACGTGAGCACTGGACCTATAATTAAGTTCAATTATAAAATCATTTTATTATAAATAAACTTTTTGATTGTCGTCTTTTAAAGGGTAACTCGTGTAGATATATATTATATATCTGCCTCGTTGATTTAGCTTACATATACAGAGTACGTATAGGTAAAGTGCAATGTTTATATACTTACACTGACTATATGTATTTCACACGATAGTACTATCATCTATAACCTCTTGTAATTTATGATAAAGCTGCATAGCAAAAAATCACATCTGTAAAGAATTATATAAGTTTTCTATGGGTAGCGCCAAAGAAAATGGTACAGCCTTTGAAGGGGTAAGCCATTAATTATACTGTATGACGTATCTTTTATTTTAATTTTCGCCACTTATCAGCAAGGACAAATTTTACCAGTGTCGTTCGTGCATATAATGTTAAGTATGTATGTATATAGAGAGTATTAATGGAAAATTCTAGGTACCTATATGTTTGATTAATTAATTAATTTTACCACCTACAGCGGTTAGTTTATTGTGCACCCCACAC